GCGGCCTGGGAGCTAGTTTCAGTGAGCGAAATACTAATGAAGAGCTGCTGGTGGGGGTAACGGCCAAACAGCGTGTGTTTTTTTTTTTTGTTTCGTTTCTTTTTTTCATTTTAAAGCGTCTTCAGTTATGAAATTACAGCGTTTCCTTATCCTTTTCTTCCAAAGCAAGTAAAGCTCTTCTGCCAGTTACTTGTAATATTTGCTTCACAGGCTACAATCGATATTTTCAGTCGTGCTCTTGATACAATCTTAATAGTTTTAACTTTAATACGACCGAATCCAAGTACACTTTAATTACTTACTGGCAATACAGTTGCTTCTGCACAGTTTGTATTCTTGTAAGTATGAAATGGGTAGAGCTGTTGCCCAAGGACTGGCCCTGTCGCTAGTGAGTGTTGCAGCAAAACTTAGTAGCACAGCAGCAAGAAGAGGACACAGTGTATGAAGTGCATCACTCAAACCTCAGCGTTCCAGTGGGGATAAGCAGTGTGTGTTGTGGCCTTAAGTGGCCAAAGGTGAAAGACCAGCTCGTGATTCCAAGGACTTCAGTAGCAGAAGTGCTTCTGCTTGAGCCAACAGGGTCCTTCTGGGTCAAAACTCTATCTTTATGTGAGTATCTGTTGTGCTGTGACATGAGAAAATCATGTTTTTTCAGACACTGGAATTTTGCCTTTTCATCTGTATTTTGGCTGAAGCTTCTTATGATATAAATCTTTAGGCTTGAAATAGATCTAGGGCTAATCTCGCTGTGAGGTGGTGAGAGTTGCCTCTTCTATTGTGGAAGAAGAGTTCTATTCAGTTCTCTCCTTAAAAAGTATTTATATGCTTCTAAAGGTACCAAAAGACAAAAGTGAAGTTGGTTTGTATGCCAGCTGAGCCCGAAGTTGATTGAGGCCTACTCTGATATATGGGTTGATGCTTCTCTTGTTTTATGAATGTGAAATCAAAGTTCTGAAATACTGAATGTGTGTAACACACCTAGACAGAGATTCTCTAAGCACTATTATATTCCATGTTGTAGAATAAGTATTTGTTGTGTTAAATACATAGCTGTACAGAAGGTTCTTGGAATGAAGTGCTAATCTCTGGCACTGCTCAGTTGCAGGCTGAGTTTTACCTCAATGCATTTTGAAGCATTAGCAGCCAAACCTACAAATAATAGTACTCCATTCCATTCATATTTTTGTGTTATGGTCTCTCATGATTGCATCCTTTGGCCAAGAAGGGCAGCAACATTCCCCTTCCTGTTCCTTGGCATCCTTTTGCTGTTACCTCCTTAAAGATAGATCACCTCTGACTGTTTTCCTATCTCCTCCTTTAAAGATCCTTTTTTTCTTTAAAATAATTGTGTAAATGGAAGAATTTTAGAAGCATGTTTTTTTCCCCTCAAAGCACTGTGCTGTGAAACACATTTCTGACTGCCAGTCACGTCTGTGTAGATAATGGTCTGTGTTGTAGCCATGGTTCTCAAACTTGGTATTTTTCAGATCAGTGGCTAAATGGACACCCTGTAACAGATGAGAGTTTGGGAGTCACAGCTGATCAGGTATGTAAACTCAGGGATGGATGTAGTAAGAATTCTTGTGATGGGTTTTTGTGACAAACATCTCTGCATCCAGAGAGCACAACCCACTTCAGCGTGGCCTGGCCTTGCTTTGGGTCCTCCACACAGCTTGAGTTCCTTTTCGAAGCAGCAACAAAACTGTTCTACTAGTGAATTTTGGTAGTTTTGGGTGCATTTTCAGAAGTTTTATCCCCAAAAGAACACTTGATTTGTAATTTAGTAGACTTCACTTTTATAGCTTCTCTCTTCTAATTGATTGGTCTGATTTTGAGGTAACTTTTTGTGCTGGGTACCATAAACCTGCCTGAAAGTCTGTACAGAAGCTGTGGTAGCAGCACTTTGCTGATGCTGAGATGCATGGAAATGAACTTAGCACTTGCACAAACATAGCATAGTTCTTTTAGATCAAAATGATTCTCTCTTAGATGGAATTATGCTTTATATCAGAGCATCTCCAGGAAAAAATAATGATTTTTTTTTCATCCTGTGCCAGCATTCAATGGTATTTGAACATAAACCTGGAAGTGGTTGTGTGGGGTGTATGATTACAGTACAGACAGGTTGGGGTTGCATACAAAAGTTTAAAACTCCATATGGTTATATGCAAGTACTAATACGTAAATTATTCCATTGCAGGAAGACACCTCTGGTGGTTATGACCTATCAGGATCCAGGATGATCCAAAGGTAACTGATTCCCAGTGGGAACACTGCAGTACATTTGAAGGAAATTGTCATGTACCGGTAGAAGTGTAAATATCCAGGTGAACCTGCTCTTGTGTACATGTGTCCAAAGCTCTGAGAACTTGGGCATGGAGTCTGTAGAGGTGTTACTGTAGCTGCTGTTTTTAGCTAGTATTCTATTTATTCAGTAAACTAAATTACTGGCTTTGCTTCCACAACCAGTAGAACAGAGGATGAGAGATGAATGAAGTAATTCTCTTGTCTAAATTTCAAGGGAATAAACCAAAGTGCTGGTGAGATTGTACTGATAAGATGGTGCCTATGTAGGTAACACAGGTAACTGCTGCCTGTGAGGTCAGCTGGAGGTTTTCATCAAAGCTTATTTGACAGTTTTCAGCTAATAGTTGCCTATTAGTAAATGGTTTCATAATCATTGTGATTCCCTGTTACAAAAATAATCTTTTTTGTTAGTTTTAAGGCACTATCACTCTAGACTAATATGGAATTTTCAGTGAATTGCTATCAGTTATGAAAATAATAGGAAGGAAAAAGTATAGAATTAGAACTACAGTATTTTACAGTGTCTTATAGGCTGCTTTACTGGTGTCTGTGAAAGCAGCAGTGAAGTCTGGTCTTACAATGTTTGGGATTCTATGTATGAAATACTAATGTTGTATAAATGGTCACTTCTAGTGTCCCATGTTCCAGTTCTGTTAAACAGGAAACTTGCTGTTAATGATCATGATTTAAAAGTAGTAGTTAAATTTGTCCATTTAATTCTGGGGAATATTGAGCTTGCAACTCCAGAAAAGTGACAGTTCTGTTTCAGTCTCTAGATTCAGAATTCTTTAAAGCTAGTTAATATTAAGGCATTTCAGCATTTACGATACTTATTCTTTTTCACATTTTTAGGGTGTCAACTCTAATCACAGAATATGATGAACAGTTGCAAGAAATGAGAGAACAGCTGCAGCTTTATCAGGTATGGATGTTCCTAATGGGGCAGACTGTGTATTCTTACTGGTCTTAGTGTCTAGGCCATGAGTTTTTGCCATGCTTCACAAAGCTGCTGGGCTGCAGTCTGCTTCAAGTGGGTGAATGGAGAGCTTTCTATAAAGACCTTGGGAGATTGTCCAAATTGCAACAGTTACTGTTCGGAGAAGTAAAGTTGTGAATTGAAACAAGCATGTTGTTTTCTCTACATGCTCTGATACAGTTGCAGGTATATTCCTAGGTGGGATGGAGACCAGGCAGCTGTCTCCCTCTTTCCTTGCAGGTCTGATCTGATGCAGTCCAACTGAGTCCTGCAAGTATGGATACACCCAGCCTTCTTCATTCTTAATTCTGTAGGTTCAAATAACCTTTTAAATGTGTACTATCATGGAGGCTGAGGTGGAGGGGAACTCTCCTCCTCTCAGTCACAGAAAATCAAACTTCTTAGTGCTTCATAGAGTGACTGAAAAGCAAAGTGATATATTTAAAACCTGTGGCATGCAGAAAGCAATTTTTACTTGTGATCTACATGTGGAAGTTATACTCTGGTTTTGGTTTCATGCACTTAATTTGTTTGGTCTGTCCATCATAAAGATTTTGCCAATAGAGTCTTCAAGCTTGACTGATTTGAGAAGGCAGCTATGGGTTTGTTGCACTTGTTAACAAAACAGCCAGTTTGACTCGCCTAACCTAAGTTTCTCCTTCCAAACTCTTTTCAAATGCTTACTGCATAAAAGATGAGTTATCCACTGTAGCCCTCAAAGAGCTTGAGTCAATTAAAAATCAATCTGTAAGAGTGATAAGAATTGCAAAAGGTTAAGTTTAATGCCTGTAATAACTTCTGAATGCTGAGGACTTTGCAGCTGTGAAATTTAAGTGGCATCCTGTGACTTGCCTTAAATAAGAAAGTGACTTGAATTTACTGTATTATGCTGAATTAAACTGTCCATCTTCTACAGTATCAGTCAGAAATAAAAGGTGACAGATTTACCAGAGCTGGTGTCACATGAGTGCTTACTCTTGCATGTCTTTGCCAGGCACAAATGAGTAAGATGAGGCTACAAATGGAAGAAGTCACCAAGGAAAATGAAAGGTAAATAATTGCACTGCCATGTTACTACTGCTGCTTCTTTTGATTTCTCAAAGTTAAAAAGCTTTTTTTCTAGGACCTTGAAATCTTTGACTACTAAGTAGATTCAGGATTTTAATGTTAGGATCTTTAAATGCTTCATACAGGTTACAGCACCAGGTGTAGATGAAATTATTTCAAACTGTTATTGTGTTTATAGAACATAACTTGATAGATTTTAAATTTGAATTAGAAGTAGTATGGAAGGTACAGTATATTTCAGTTGTTTAAAAATTCCCTGTTCAAGAAATACTTTGCTGAACCTAGCTCTTTGTATTTCAGGCTGCATGCAGAGTTGAAAGAGGCTCTTGAGAAGCAACTGGAGGCTCTTTCTTTCATGCATCTGGAAACTGGTATTCCTGCAGATGAAAGCATAGTGAGAAGCCTTCAAGAACAATTAAAACTGGCAAAACAAGTGTGTGAGATGAACCATTTAAATTACTTTATTTCTCTTGTTGTGCCTTAGTAGATTAGGGGAAGCTTTTTTATTTCTTGATTCAGAAGTTATTTGTTCAGAGTTCCTTGAGACTATTTTGAGGCCCCTTTGAATTTCAGCTTAAAGACCTGAAGGAACTTCTGTCCTAGATTTGTATAAGAATTTTTTTTTTACTATTAATTTGTGCCAGTAATTTTACTCAGTTGATTTGATCCTTATCTTGGATTACTGACCAGGAACGTAACGAGATACTGTGTTCAAGTTTTTGTTGTAGCTTATCATTTTAATCAAAACTATTGCAATGGGTTATGAGGAGGCAAATACATATGGGATATAGAAAATAATATTTCAGTCTGAAAATACAAACAAAATTTGTTCAGATTATTACAATGATGTATCAATCCTGTTGTGTCTGATTATTTGAAGTTATTATTTGAAGGTGGTGGATTCACCATCCCTGCAGGTTTTCAAGCTGAGACTGGATGTGGCACTTGGTGCCATGATCTAGTGACCACAGAAGGGTTGGACTAGGTGATTTTTGAGGTCTCTTACAATCCAGTTGATTCTATGATTCTAATTTAACAGCAGAATTTTGGTATTTGAGTATTATCTATACTGTAGGCCTACACTAAATACCTGTAAAAGTTTGAGCTCTTAAAAAAAAAAAAAACAAACAAACTGGAGAACTTGAAGCTCACCTGTAGATGGAATTTGTACTTGTAAACGTCTGTTTTCCTGCTTCTGAATTTGATATTTTGTCTGTGTAGATAAAAGTGTGCAGAGGGTAGTATAGAAAATAGAAGACCTCTTGTTGTAGAATGATAGATGAAGGTAAGCTTGCTGTAACAGAACATTTTTACAAGGCACTGTGTTGTGACTTAGGAGAAGGAACAAGCAGTTGAGCTGTGGCAGACGACGTTACAGGAGCATGACCGACTCCAGCAGCAGTACCAGGAGCGCCTGACTGAAACACACATTCACGTGGCTGAAAGGAGGAAGCAGAATGTAATTCTCGTTTATAGTTTGTTTAATTTTGGTATGTCTTCCTACACTGTAGAGATTCTGGGTCTGTGTGTAGTACAACTGAATTGGGCAGGTTCTACCAGGACTGTTAATTATTTTCCAGAATAGTCATCCAAAGTTGAGTGGTGAGATGTGGTCAGTGATTATCAGCTAAATGCTCTGTTACGACTGGAAAAGTTCCTTATTCCAAATAGATGGCCAGAAACTTTTGGGAATGCATTGAGTCTGGGCACATATATATGTGTATGTGTGCACGAGTTTTGCACGTGCCTATCAAAAATCATGTGTTTGAGTTGCATGGTTGGAAATCTTCAATAGAGTAAAACATCTGAAAAAGCTGCTTAAGATTTCTGAGTTCTAAGGTGGAAGTCTTTCATGTCTTCTCCTGTTGTGTTTGAATCCTGAAGTTCGTAAGGTAGTGGGAAAAGTCATCTCCATGTCCTATTTTTATTCAGTAGAAGGATGTGTAAAGAGATGAAGAATCAAGTTTACCAGTATTCTTCTAAAGTTAGCTTGTGTTTAGCAGCCTGTCTCTCTTCTGCTGTGTCTGAGGAAGGCCTTTCAGGAAATCCTAGTTCAGAAAAGCTGTCCTGCTCTCATGAGCTGTATGAAGATGTTCAGTGTGTGAAGAACTAATAGAAACTTCATGCCCATATGTACCATGTATTTCTAGGTCTCTAAAGAGAAGCTACAATTATTTTTCAGTATTTCTATTTCCAGGTACTATTGACATGTGGGCACACTTGCAGCTCACCTCAGAAGTATTTCTGTCCTGATTTTTACCCTTTTGTGGTGTTAAGTGCACCTCAGCAATGTGCTCTTTTCTGAGAAACAGGAGAAATACCTGTATAGCTATTGTGCTCTGCCAAGTTCCATAATTATTCCAAAGGATAGTTATGAGGATTCTTATCTATGTGTAGTCCCAAGTTTCTGCTCCTGTTTGATCTGTTGGGTTATTTCTCATGTTGCACTGTCAGTTACTGGTAACACACATAGTAGAGCTTAGGGAGTCATTGGTAGCTGTTGGAGCCTTTAGGGATGTCAGACTCCACTTTTCATTACTACTTAAATTCTTGGTGGATTTCAATGCCATTGTAACAAGAATGAGCTTGAGCAGCCTTGTATTTTTAAATGCTACTGGTCTCCCAGAGAAAGCAGCTGGTTAGTTAAATAAACTTTTAATTTAGGTTTTGCTTTTAATGAAGGAGCAGCAAATAGCTGCAGAGGTAAATAGAAATAGGTGAGACCAACTAGAATTAGGATTGACAGAAAGCAAAGACAAGAGGGGGTATGACAAGGATTGGCTATAGTAGGTAAGGGAGTTATAGGAATAGGTTTCTGGCATATACTTGGCCTTGAGACTGTTAGATGAACACAGCACAATTAGTAGATATTTCAGCTCAGGGACTTGGGTCCTCTCTATGCTCTGAAGGCACTTGGCATGCTGCAGATGGTTTTTCTGTGTTAGGCTAGTTTTTCTAGGATAGCAGAGTTCATGTTCTGGAACTCAAGAGCTTAATTGAGCCTTTTTTTTGTATGGACACAAGACATCCTACATGGCAAAGAGCAAATTAAACACATCCATACAGACGTTTTTTAATTAAAGCATACATGTCTGTTATTCTCCATAGCAAAAATGCTTGTAGTAGTATCATAGCCTGTGTGGCTCTTTAAAGGACTGTTCATGTGTGCTTTCATGTTTCAGTTGTAAGTGCCTATGAGTTTTGGAAGGAGGCAGTTGGTAACAGTGAAAATCAGATACATTTTTCAGTAGGAAATCTAATTTTCTGGATTACTAGGTCAACAGCTAAAAGAAATCACAGGTTGATTGTAGATTTCAATCTGGTTGAAACCTACAAAGGCATTCTGAATTTCCTGCAACATGTATAGTTTCTTTCAAAATGTTTTCAGTTGACTAGGAAACCTTTTCATTATGCACTCCTTATGATTTTAGTGATTATAAGAAGCTCTGAATTCTCTTCTTAGGATCACCTGACCAGCTTGCAGCATTTGACTCGGCAACTGCATACAGCCAATGAGAAAATAGAGTTGGTAAGTACAACTTTTCTGAATGGTGACCTAGTCATTTATTTATTTTCCTACCTGAGCCTCAAAGTGTAAAACAAAAGAAAAAAGTCCTTCATACATATCTGGCTGATAAAGAAATGGTGCCACTCAAACATGCCAACTTCTCCAGGGACCAGTCAAAAATCAAGGAGTAATGGCTTTATTCCTAACTCCAAACACCAGGTCAAGGGGGCTGAGAGGTTAGCTCTTAATATTACATGAACGTCTTCTCCTAGAAGTCAGTGATAAGCTCAGAATTTTACTATGTGGTGAGTGTACTCACACATTCAAAACCATCTTCATAAAGGAAAATTTATTGAAATGATGCCCTCTTATATATGCTAGCTCTGCCACGTGTGTGTCCATTCCTAATTTGTGTTCTGCTCAAAGAAGTCGAGTCTCTAAATGTTCTTTGAAAATGTTCTTAAGTTGCTTAATCAATCTTCTTGCTCACCTCTGAAACAGCACAATACTCCAATTGAGCCCTTATCACTGTTGAGTATTATATTGGAGATTACTACAGAACTTTATCTAGCCGACAGTTGTCCTGTTTACAAGCTCTTTTGTTAGTATTAATAAAAGGAAAACAATGCACTTGGAGAGGAACTTTGCCTTTTGATGGCCTCAAAGTTAAGTAACTCTCAAGACAGATACTTTAGAGTTACTGGGGGCTTGCTGTCTGAGAACAGTCTGAAGCAAATACAATGAAGAGCTTTAAAGCAGTTTTGCTGAGGATTTAGAAGTTCCAGGCTGTTTGATCTGCTGCTGCAAGCAAATCAGTTGTAGGTGCCTTAAAAAAACCTATCACTGTATGCTTGAAATCATAGAATTGGAAAGAGATGATGATGTGAG